AAAACTGTGTAATAAGATTAATTAAATTAATAATAAAATTATCAAATATTCTGGTCCTGATCTCAGACACAGTCACATGATCAGTTTAACTGTAATAATGTATATTAACTGATTCTATATTTTTAGCAGTCTCAGTGTAATTAGAGATTAATTGTATATTCAAATCATTAATTGCTGCTTGTATAACTGCTTTGTGATGCATGTTGTGAGTGTTTCAAGATGAATGAAAAAATGAAGATTGAGCGGGTGTTGAATGTAAGCGGGCGTTGGGTGAGATGGTTGATGCATACAAGAGGTTTTCAATTAGGTAACTTAACTAGATGAATACAATATTTACAAGGTCTATTTCACAGCAGCGCCGAATCGTGGCATCTATGCCTAACGTAATCAACCACCTAACACTTGTTTTCATCTAACGCTCGCTATTTCGCTACTTCTATGATGAAATCAACCCAACAATATCTCAACAACGCAATTAGATTTTAAGATAAAATATTATATGATGAAAATATATACATAGAATTACATATAAAAATATATAGCTAATCTTGTAGATGCTTGTTTAACTTAATAACTCACTCAGAATGTGAAATCTTGAATGAAGACAGATTCAGTGAGTAAGCAGTTATTAAATCAGTAGAGATTGTAATATTATCAGATTTCTCTGCCAGTGAATCTGTAAGCACTCTGACAGAGCTCTGAAAATGTGATTTAGTCACTCTTTATGAAATTGAGAATCTACTTTTCTGATTAGAAAGGTGATTTTTGAATACTTTAATCTTATTCTTATTCAACTGTGATTACAACTGTGCTGTAGCTTGTTCTTTCTTCTCTTTTTACTCTTAAGCCTTTCTTACATCTCTAAGCTTCTTTTCAATCTGTTATTGAGCAGCTCTAGCAGTCTTATTCATCTTTCTTTACTTCTTTACTGTCTGATAAGCAGCATTTCATTGCATCTACTGCTTTATAATATCTGTCTTCTTTTACTTCTTAAGAATAGTGTGTTACAACTAGACTGGCCGTCAGAACCATGAATTTCACATTTGATTTCATTTGATCTGATCTCATACATTTCTTGGTATGAATTCTGCTGAGACTAGTCATTAAAAAAACATGCAAAGTGACTATATATCAGATCTTAAAATGAAACCATGACTTGAAAAAAATAAGAAAGTGATCTCATTTGATCTCATTTAGTCTCATTCTTGACATAAAGTTACTATTTTTAGACATTTTAAGGTTTTTTTTAGACTATTTTTAATTTTTTAAAAAGTAATGCTTTTTGATAACACTTAAATAAGATTTAAAGTTATTTAAAGCAATAAAAATAATTTAAATTGAGAAGTGAAAATTATAATCTCATTTGAAAAATGTGATAAGAGTAGATAGTAAGTCTCACTGAGACAGTATGAAACTACTATCTAATGTTAAAACTGTGTAATGAGATCAGTTAAATTGATAATAAGACTATTAAAAAATCTGATTCTAGTCTCAGATATGATCACACAGTCAGTCTAGTTAGAACTTGATATTCTTTTTATAAGCCTGCTCATTCTTTTTAACAGCTTTATTCACTGCTTTTTACTTATGAACACACTGCATCTTTACTGGTGAAAAGAACTGTGTTAATGATGAATTTAAAGAATTTAGCAATCTCATGACTCTGTCACACTTATAATATCTTTTTTCTTAATTAAGAGCTTACTGCAGCTAGACTGACTGTGTGACCATGTCTGAGATCAGAATCAGATTTATTGATAGTCTTATTATCAATTCAACTGATCTCATTACACAGTTTTAACATTAGATAGTAGTTTCATACTGTTTCAGTGAGACTTACTATCTACTTTTATCACATTTTTCAAATGAGATCATGATTTTCACTTCTCAATTTAAATTATTTTTATTACTTTAAATGACTTTAAATCTCATTTAAGTATTATTTAAAAGTGTTACTTTTTAAAAAATTAAAAATAGTCTAAAAAAACCTTAAAATGTCTAAAAATAGTAACTTTATACTAAGAATGAAATTAAATGAGATTAAATGAGATTACTTTCTTATTTTTTTCAAGTCATGATTTCATTTTAAGATCTGATATATAGTCACTTTGCATGTTTTTTTAATAACTAGTCTCAGCGGGATTCACATCAAGAAATGTATGAGATCAGATCAAATGAAATCAAATGTGAAATTTATAATCTCAGTAGTCAGTCTAGCTGCAGCTGTCTATTCTCTATTAAAAGAATCTCTTTATCAAGAGTAAGATTTTCACTTGTGTGAATCAGTTAATTAAGATTACTAGATATTTAACACTGCTACTGCTTGACTTACTTAATTATTTTTCACATGCTAATAATAGAAGTAGATGTTCTTAATCTACAATACATGTCTGAGAGAGTATAAGATCTTACAAGCTTTTTTAAAACCTGTTTCAGATCAAATGAATATAGATCAGTGATAATGAATACAGATACAATATTTAAAGATGTAAGTATCTCATTTTATATAGAATGAAATAGCTGTCAAAAAGATCTCTTTGTAGTATATATAAATCTTATTTCAGTTCTTATTTATTCATTCAGTTGCTTGAAATATGATTTATTCAATAATTAAAATATTTCAATATCTAGCAGCTGTAATTGATGTATAGAGTGAGAAGATAGAATAGTAAGTAGAATCTGATTTCAATCTGTATAATTAATGAATGTTATATTAATATAAGAAGAATGACTATTTAATATAAGAAGTCTATATCTGCACTCAGCTTTCTTTTTTATAAGAGATTCAAAGATCTTTTTTAATTATATTAATTCATATTTATTATTACTTCATTCATTTTCTGAAGCAGTAAAGTAGGCCTGATTCTTTTCACTATTAAAATCTTCAAGTCAGCTATCTTACATATCTCTTGATTTCTCTTGATATATGAGAGTAGATAAGAGAGCAGTTTCATCAGTATAAATTACAGTAAGTAAAGTTATAAATTCTCTACTATTATTCTGATTGATATCTATCATATATCTGAATTTAAGAGCAGCAATTGATATAATATGTTTAAAAGTATAAATAAGTTCTAATAGAAATTCTTTTTTATCAAAGTTGTAAATATTGTTAAATTTAATATTATATTATATAATCTTTGTCTGCAGCTGTTAAATTAAGTGAGATTAAATTAGTAAAATAATCATAGTAAAGATAAAAAAGATAATAAAAGCAAGAGATTAAATACAAGATCAAAGTAATACTTGAAATATATTGAATTGTCAGCATTCTTGCATTTTTAATTGATATTTCACAGATAAACTGACTTGATTACATTCTTATAGTATTGACAGAACTGTGACACTCAGTTAACTCTCACAGATGATTTTAGAATCTCAATAATAAGATTATAAAGAATTTGAGATGTACAAGGAAAACTGCAATCTGTTAATCAATTGATATGAAAAAGAAGCTGTTCTTCTTGTGAATTTGAAAGATTTTGACAGTGAATAGAGATTGCTTTCTTTCTTGATGTTTGAAGGTTATTATAGCACTGTGACAATGTATGATGACTGATTCCATATTTTTTTGCAGTTGTAGTGTAATTAGGAGTCAATTGCACATTCAAATCATCAATCACTGCTTGTATAGCTGATTTGTGGTCCATGTTGTGGGTTTTTGAACATGGAGATTGAGCTAAGATTTGTGCGAGCGTTAGGTGTAAACGAGCGTTAGGTGGTTGATTACGTTATATAGGAAGGCCGTGCGTACTAAATATTTCATGCGACTTGGCGCTGCAGGATCCCTCTATTAAACACATGTACTCTGTTGCCATGAAAACACGCAGAATGGTAGAACGTGGGTGGGACTGAGAAGTGTTTTCTCTCCTGGTCTTGCTTGTCTCTGATCTCCGACATCATTCATGAAGTGGCGCCACCAGACTCGGTAAAGTAGACCGTGAGGGTCAGCCCAGGTCTAGCACGTCTCGCTGGAACACTTGTGACGTGAGAAGGTCGTCGCAGGTGATGTTTGCAGGATGAGGAGTCTAACAGCTCATTCTTCTCACAGCGGGATGGGATGAGGTGGTGCTCAGGAGCTCTCTAATCTTGACCAGTTCTCTTGTCTCCAACTTCATCTTTTATTTTACCTGTACGCCCACCACGACATCGTTCATTGAGGCAGTATGAGGAACCGAGCATTCCAGCAACCCAGATCGAAGATAGATTTCAGAGTTTTCTAAGCAGCCATTGTTGAACGTCTCTTGGTGGATAAAGAGGATGGATAATTAATCTTCCAACCTCAGTATCATTTGTCAATGTGTGGTTGACCCTACGTTTGGCACAGGGCGCGATTGTCGCTTGATTCCGTTAAATGGAGCTCAATCATCTCTACGGCAAGGCCACCGGACAATCGATGCTTGACTGCACGCATAGCCAGAATCAGAATGGGGATTCCCTGCTCTGCTGAAGTGCTACCGCCAATGAGAGCTCACGACAAGGGACCAGAATGAATGTTTTCTTCTTCGAGGCATCCAATGTGTTCATCCTCCCGCATCGCAGCCTTGTGCTGCTATTCCGATAGGTCCCTTTACGGAATGGCAGGGGGAAATGATACATCCGAATGTATACTACTGTGCTTATCCACCAATGGGGCCGGCACAACGCATCAAAGAATTGAACACGCATACTCCTCTTAATGTGGAAAAGAACATAACAGAAGCTCTAGGGTGAGGCCTCCAATGCAGAATTTACTGTTCCATGCTACAAAAGTTCATTTTACCTACAACACCCCGCATTTTGGAAATGATCGCTTTTGTGATTGGACTAAGAGGCGGCTCGGAGCATGTAGTTGGAGGGGTTCCCAGAGCTCTTTATATATGTGCCTACCCGAGGGAGGAGCCATCAAAACTTGCCAGCGACTCCGTCCTCAAATTACAAGTCTAATTGCTACACCCACTTCTCGTACAGATTTGCGTTGAGATTGTTTCTTCAAGGTTTGGACCTCCAATTTGGCTGTAATGGGGCTCAACAAGAAGAAGAAGAAGGGGAAGAAGGGGGCTGCAACCTCGAGTGACCTTACATCCAGTTAAGCTAACTCTAACCCTGGTAGCAAGTTTATACACACTGCTGACATGAACCCTACTACTAGAAAATGAAGTAACAGCTGCACAGCTGAATGAGACAGCAAACCCTCTGACTTTGGCTCAATATGCCACTGTCTTTTCCACTGGGGCCCTTTCCCAAGTTAACCTACCTCCTATAGCAAGCTCTTTTGAAACGGAACCTCCTTCTAATTCCGCCTGGAATGGGGTAAATCCTCCTATTGCCTCCAACCCCTATAACACAGAGAGCCCTACGGTCCACGTGGCAGATGGAGGCGACACCTTTATTTCCTCCAGCCCCTACGAAACAGATATTGTTCAAGTTCATGTTGGCCCCATCGGTGGCCAGAGAGCCTTTCATGTCCACTTGGGAATTCTGAATCAGGCTCCATCACTAAGCAGCAAGATAAATCCTACGACTTGTTCTGCCAGAGAACATAATAGTATATCCCTAGTGAACACAGATCCCGGGATTTTCGAGCTCGTCCTAATGTTCCTGTACATCGGAAAGTATCTAGACTGTCCTTATCCACCACTATTATTTCGTTCACTAGAGCGGAATAACGACAATCAATGGCCTGGCGCCGATATGGAGTTCGAAATGCATTCTCTCCTTTACTGCTTTGCCCAGGAGTATAAAATGGACGAGCTCTCTGCCCTTGCACTAATAAGCATTGAAAATATGACACAAGTGCCTTATTTGAATGTACTTGACGTTGCGAAGAAAGCATACCCCAAGCTCCCGGATGCCGACAATGATGACGCGTATCGCGAGAGGTTCCGGCATGAGACGAGAGTTGCGATGAAGGAGAATAAGGATCTCATCAGGGAGCCTTGGGTTCTTGATGTGTTCAGGAATGAACATGGAAATTTGACTGTTGACCTGTTCACAACCTTGACGGAGCCGCTGCGATGCGACAGTGAAGCCAACAATAGCGAGACTTCACCCCCAGAGGAGCCACTCAGATCATCTCAATCTGATAAGGGGAAAGAGGGAAATGTGCATTTGAATGGTGGCAATGCAGATTACTGTACTCAAGAACCAACAGCAGCTTCGGTGGTGGGAGAGCCTGCCCTTCCCGGCCCCGAGGAAACTATCGCCGAAGATATCCCCGAAGTCCCATTTGAACAAGTTCCTGAACCACCGGTCTCAGAACCGGAACCAGAATTAGAATCCGCCAAGGAGCCTGCTGACATCGTTGAGCATGCAGTTGATGACGGGTGGGGACTCTGGGGAGGCGTTGAACTCAGGAGAAGGATGAAGAAGAAGCCCAAGAAAAGCCCGGAGCCCAACCCAGGGCTAGAGCCAGAGGGGGCTCCAGTAGAGGAGTCCCCAGTTGAACCTCATGATTGGTCGGGATGGGGCACGAAGTCGTTGTTGAACCAGGCCCAGAAGCCGGACACGGACCAGCAGACGACCCTACATCCACCAAGAAGAGGCAAGAAAAAGGGTAAGAAGAAAAAGATGATCGAAGCCCCAGGCTCGGAACCACCGCCAGCACCGGAGCCTGAAGTCCACATCGACCGATGCGCTTTTCCCGATGACCTAGCGCCAGACGAGCCTTACCCACCCGACGAACCCCTAGCCATCAACGACCACCACCACCACCACAAACTAGAAGAAGAGCCTCCCCCGCCCCCTTCCCCTCCCCCTGAAACCCTCTGGCCAGCGGACCCAGAGCGCCCCCCAACCCCCGAAAGTCCCGAAAACCCCTCCTGCACCTTCATGCTCGGCGATGCAGATAGCCCGATATCCAAGGCGAGGTATTTCAAGGAACCGTGCAGCCGGCGGAAGCGGCATTTGACCAGCGAGAGTTATTGGATGGATTGTGTTCGGTGTCGGGCGGAGCTGGGGAGTATTGCGAGGGGGATTGTTGCGGGGAAGGGGGGTGGTGATGGTGATTATGATCGGGTTGATGGGGAGAAGGGGGAGGGGGAGGGGGAAGGGAGGTGGAGATGAGGGGGGAAGGGGATGTGAGGTTTAGTTGTCAGATTGTGAAGACTATGATGGGATAATTTCTTGGTTGGCCTATATTGTGACGGCTCTTTTGTTTTGTTTCTACCTCTCGACCTTCCTTTTCTTTTCTTTTTCATCTTAGTTTTTTCTTGTCCAATTGTTATGAATGATGTGGAGGAGCGCGTTAATGATAATAATGATAATGATATACGTTCCATCCCCTGTCCCGGAGCGCTGAAGTGAATCAATCATATTCACTTCCTACAACCCCCCATTTCCAAGCTCTTCACACCCAGATCCAGCACCTAAGTAGAATGAATGTACGGAATACCGCCTCCTCAGTTCCAATTCCAACAGTGATATAAACAAGTATATTAGAATATATCTATATGTACATGTACATATCAGGACGGCAACCCAATGTCATCTTAGCACACAACTTGTGTGTGATTCTGGTTGGCTGTTGATTGTGCATGTAGCAAGATCTCTGATCGATCTGCTTTTGATTATATATTATCTTATCAAAACACTCTGCAGTCTCAGGGATCAGATCTTCTATTTTAAAATTCAAACTCTGGGATGCTGCTGTGTGACTAATATCATCTTAAATAATAATAAGATAACTGGTTCATATGATAGATCTTAATATTCTAGTTAACTTATCATATAGCTAGCATTATTTCAATTAATCGAGCTTTACACCTTTTACATACATGTAAATCAAAGATATTTTCAACATGCGGGGAGATGGAGATGATATAAAGTGGTGGGGAGATTTGGCTTGAAAGTGAAGAGAGAAATAAAAATAAAAAGTTAAAAAGAATAGGAAAATCGTATAATAAAAGTTAGTCTATTAGGCGCTTCAATCAGTCAATCAATCAATTAGTCAATCGGTCTTAAAAAAAAAAAAAAAAAAAGAAAGAAACATAAAAGCGTTAAACAGAATATGGCCAAGTGCAAAGGGGAATCATCATGCATATATGCAATCAAAATAAACACCGTAACCCACGCGTACAACCAACAGGTAAGTTAGTGGAAAGAACATAACTCCAAAAGGGCAAAAGTAAGAAAAAAAAAAGTGGGAGCGGGGGAGGGAGGAGTAGGAAAAACATCAATATCTCAGCCATTTGAAATCCTCGAACTTCGCATCAAAAACCGATAAAAACATGAGAGAGAAAAGGAAAAAAAGAGTGAACTTGGAAATGTTAAGAGGGCTTAGAGCTGGCCCTTCCAAATAGCACCAAACCTCCTATTAAGTAACTCTTGAATATCCAACGAGCGCCGCGAGGGACTTGGGCTTGATACATCGCCGCTTTCTTCCGCCGCTCGGCCTGCACCTCCTCCTCCTCCATTCACAAAAGCTTGACCATTCCCCAACTCCACCTCCTCCATCTGCACATCAGCACCGTCTCCACCTTTCCCTTTCCCCCGTCCACGCGGCGCGCTCCTCCGATCCAACAACTCCTGCACCTGCATCTCCCTCTCCCTCTCAGCTTCCATGTCCGCAACATCTCCACCGTTCAAATCCGTCATAGTCTCCAGACCAGACTTCTTCCCCCGATCCCACCCCTGCTGCAGCTCCGATGCCGCCGCCTCCTCAAACCGCTTCCGAATCTCCAAATCGCCCTCGAACTCCTGGAAGTGATCGACATCGGTCGGGAACAGCGCGACGCGCAGCGTCGTCACGCATATCTCGAAGAGAAGCACGGCGACCACGGCGAGGAGCAAGGTAACCCACCAGAGCAGGTTGCGCCCGGTGCGAGGCAGGAAGTTGTCGCGGACATTGTAGATGGCATCGAGCGCGTAGCGGCGCGAGAGGATGATGTTCCAGAGGAACCAGCCGCCGATGGACACGATGATGACGATGGCGGCCATGACGGTGCGGTAGCGGATCTCGAGGAATTGGAGTTTTAGGTTGATGATGATCACGCAGGCGGTGTAGGTTAGCAGGCCCATGGCGAAGACGCGGTTGTCGAGGGTGAAGATGGCGCTGCCGAAGAGGCCGTACATGGTGAAGTAGACGACCATGGCTTCGCAGCTGCCCATAAAGGCCCAGCCGAGGTAGAGTTTGACGTTGAAGCCGCCGTTGCGTTGGCCCTTGGTGTACAGTTCGGGGACGGCGAGGAGGGTGGAGGCCGCGAGGTCCTTTTCGAAGATGCCGAGGAAGATGACGGGGAGGGAGGTGAAGAGGGTATTGAACATGCTGAGGGACCATGATTCGTAGAGACTGGTCCCCGTGTAGCCATTCCAGCGCTGGTACAGGGCTTGCGTGAGGTAGAAGACGGTTTCTTTCCAGAAGGTTCCTAGCGTGTATTTGCAGACACGGATGTAGTTCCAGCGGCCGTGGACGAGGAGGAGCTTGAGCAGGAATCTAAACTGCGCGATTGAGTAGTCTGATATCCTGGCGGCTTGTAGACCCTCCTTGCCGGTAATGCCAATGCCCACGTGCGCCTCCTGAATCATAGCGATATCATTCGCACCATCCCCAATCGCAAGGGTAATGGATCTCTTCACCCGCTTCCGAATCGATCGCACGAGGAACGCCTTCTGCTTCGGACTCGCACGGCAACAAATCACAGAGTCGGCGAGGATGGCAAGATCAAAAAAGAGTTCCTGGAGTGGCGCATCCGCCTCGACGGTCGACAGCGTCTGCCCATCCACCACAATCACAGAATGGGCACAGGCACCCCTCACAATCTCACTCGTCGTCTCCAGGATAACCCGCTCGACGTCCCCGGCATCATGGTCCAAAATCGTCACGGTCGAATAATCCTTCACAAGCCGACACGAATTGCCAATGTTGATCGCAGTCTCCCGCTTATCGCCCGTAAGCATCCAGAGCTTGATATTCGCCCGGCGCAGCTTATCAATAGCCTCCGGAACGCCCTTCTGCAACTTATCCTCAATAGCAGTAGCCCCGCCCAACTCTAGCTGCGTCTCAATCTGCTCGCCCACCTGTTCAATCTTCTCCTGCCGCCCGACCAAACTCGTCGTCGCTTCATGATACCTAGCCTTCCACTCCTGATAATCCGCTTCCTCAATGAAGCGATAGCCATACAACAGCGTCCGCAGCCCTTCCGTCGCAAAGTCATTCAGATGCTGGAAACACCGCTCAAACACCATCGCCTCATTAACCACCAACGACTCCTCAACCAAATCCTCCGCGCCATCGTCCGTCTGGAAGGACGCGCGGTACCGTTCCTCTGAAAGAGCCCCAGACGGCCGCGGGGAGAGTTGCATAGATGGGCGTGGGCTATAATAATAATCATCATCGCCATCTCTCAACTCCAGACCGCCATCCGTCTCTCGGTCCCGCAGCCAGACATCGATACTATCCCGCAGCGACGAGCGGCGCTTACCAGACACGCTCGACCGGCGACCAGCCGCGAAGCTAGGACGGCCAATACTCATGCTGGTCTTGCCATCCTTGCGGTGGGCGTGTTCGCTATTGCGCCTCATGACCTCTTTCGCCTCCAGCGATTTCCGCTTGTTAGCGCGGTTTTCGATCTCGGCGACTTTCTCTGCAGCGAGGCCAGATCGTTTCAGCAGGCCCATGACGGTCGAATCAGCGCCCTTGCAGAAGAGACAGATGCGCTGGTCGGGCATACGGACGACGATCGACATGCGTTTCCGCACGCTGGAGAATTCAATGATATCTAGGATTTCATAGACTTCTTCCTCTGCGACAGGCTCTCCGTCTTCGTCCTGCGCGGTCGTTGATAGTCGAATGGTAAGCGAGTTGGGTTGTCTATCCACCACCAGATATCCCATCTCCTTCGCAGCAGTGACCAGCGCAGCCTCATCCGGCGAAGCAGCTTGGAATGAGATATCACCATCATCATCGCGCTCCGGTATGCATGTGTGGCATAGCGCGAGGGCGAGGATGAAGAATTTCGCCCTGCGCGCGAACAGGGTATGCGGTTTCTGCTGTATGTATTCCAACATCTCCACTGTCCGGCCACCGTGATACATTCTACCCCTCCTATTCGACCGCCAGTGCGTCGTTGTCGTCGCCGTCGGTGATGAGTTCTCCTCCTGCCTGTGATTTGACACACCGGACTTCCGCCCAAATGTTACTTGGTCATATGTGGACGATTTCCGTGAGGAAGCCTTCTTCTCCTTGCGTTTCTTATGCAGGAGCATCTTGCGATCCGCGTCTCGGGCTGCTTCCTCTTGTAAATCGGTGTCGTGCAGCCAGGCAGTTCCCGCAACGCTCATTTTGCGGAATTTCATGGAGTTATTCGTCAGCGTGCCGGTTTTATCGGAGAATATGTAGCTGTTGTTATTTAGTTAGCATTTATCTTTAAACGGGATATTCCGAGCGCAGCCCCCTGCGGGAGGGGGGAAAAAATAAACGAAGACAAGGAAGAACATCATCCATACCTAACCTGCCCCAACTCCTCATTAATCGTAGATGTCCTCGCCTCCAACGGTGTATCCGACTCGACATCATACATATCGATATCATTCAGCAAAAAAATCTGCGCAACCTTCACAATCTCCAAACTGACATACAACGAGATGGGAATCATGGTGTTAAACATAATGATAAAAGAAGTGAAGATGGGCCCAATCGAGACGTCTGCTTCCTCCAGATACCACGATTTATCCTCCACGTCGCGCGACCAGAACGTATACGCAATCGTACACGCGGACGCGAGCACGACGACGAACAGCACAATGACGGCCACGACGCGGTTGACCACCGTCTGCAGCGCCGGCGCCTTGATGCGCGGGTTTTTGTTCGCGTTCATGCGTATCTTACACTCCTCGCCGGTATATATCACCATGCCGAAGGCTTCGTGGGTATTGCGCAAGATGCTGCCGCGGTAGATGACTTCCGAGTTGGTGATGGGCAGTTTCTCCTGTCCGACTGTGACATTGCCGTCGAATTTGTAGAGGTCGATGTTGGGGTCTTCGACAGCGAAGTGGATGGATGTGTTGTGGATGATGTCTTCAGCTGTCTTGCATGTTTTCGCGACGGGGCGGCAGGGTTGTTTGCTTTTCAGGTTTGTCTCGCCATCTAGCGCCATGGTTTCGATGTATGCGATTCCGTTCGGGTCGTCGGCATGGAGGAGAACTATATCTGCTGGGGCTGGTTGATCGCGGGACAGTTTGATGACGTCGCCCACTTTGATATCTACCCATTTGGTAGGCGCCCAGTATCCTGCACTATTGGAATATGAATCAGTGTCTGTGGTGGAGGTTATCTTGGCTTCCATGGCATCCGTAGAAGTTGTGCTGGTAGTCTTAGAAGTGGTGGCAGTGGTGGCGGCAGTAGCATTCGAATTTGCATTGCGGGCTCGTAAAATATACGCAATGCGGTTATTCTCCTCCTTATCCAACCGGTAGCGACGGAGATCATCAATCCCTTCCTTCCCCATAGAAATACCAACAAAAATCATAAGCGGAACAAAAGTGGTGAAAGTGCCAGTGGTACTGAGACCGGGTATCATCTGCAAAATTGAAACGACAAGAAAATAGAAATTCGCCAGCTTGGAGAATTGCGCTACGAGTTGGCGGGGGAAGAAACTCCATAGGCTATATCGGCTGGATCGGATATGATTGCTAACGTAGTACTTGCCAGTCCGTTCGTCGATCCGCGGTTCTTGTCTCTGTACATCGAGATCGATATGGCGACCATCCTTGCTAGGTGGGATTTCTTTGATGCGAAGTACGTGCTTTCGGAAAGCGTCTGTAACAACTTTCAATTTGCCCACCGCTAGCTCATGGGTAGCACGAACTTTGCATGCAGCAGCTCGTCCCGCTGAGTACGGCTTCCTTTCCCTTAATTGAGCCTTCAGGTCCGAGAATGTGGTAGATTCTTCGTCCTTGGAACTCGTATGGAAAACGACTTCCTGGCCTGCCCCATGCTGTATCTGTGGCTGAGAATGGACCCTCGACAGAGGCTCACCGCCCGCCGACAGCTGGTGACGTAATTCAATATTATCCGTCTGGTCATGCTCCGACTGGTTGGCAATGTTCCGGTTAAAAATAGCTCGTCGTAGGGAATAGCCCCGGTTCCGCGTTGCGGGCAAAACGAGAGGAGGGGATTCGTGAAGCGGCGGAAGGTGATCTGTGGGGGAAACGGGGGAAACTGGAGATATCCACTGGCCGCTACTCCGCAGTGACGGGCTTCTTTGTTTCGAAATGACACTGGGCAAGGATGTGTCCACTCTAAGGCCCAAACCCGCAGCACGCCCGCTACCACCACCAACATCCCTCCCAGCGCTGTCCTGCGATTCCTCACACCTGGGACTTGGAGGAATTGTGTTATCGGGCGTGCGCTCTAGATCCACCGAAAAGCGCACTCGAGCCTGAGACGGCCTCCTTGTATCCTGGGAAGAAGCGCGATCTGTAGTGTCGGTATGTGTACTTGCACCGATATCTCCCGCATCTCCAGTCGTCCGTCCTCCTCCAGCATCCTGAAGCAGAACCGTCCCATCCTCCTCTCTATCCGCACCACCCTCTCTCAAAATACTGTCTCTCAACGGCGATCTCGATGAAGCCCGGCGAGGCAGTCGGGGCGAGTCCAACCTTCCAAGTCCGGGGTTATTTCCATCGCGCCCCGCCATCGGGTTGACGCCCAGCTATGATACAGTGTACCGGCTTCCTCCGCCAATATAAAGAATCTCCGCTAGCAGGCTTATATATATATATGTAAGTATATACGTATATAATGCACGTCCGTCTCTTATATATCTTTAGCAGTAGCCCGGAACCAGCCCTGGAACGTAAAATGGACGGGCGGATCGGATGAAAAAGCAGTAGGTAATTAAGCGGGGTGTGAGACGACTTGCGATGGATAATTTAATTGAATATACCAAGGACAAAACGTGTAAAGGCGGTAGCTAGGGAGAAGTTGAGCGGAGTTAGAATCATCGTTGGAAGTGGCGCATTTGGTTGGTGGGCGGGCGGGGAGAAGGATATTGAGGAACCAGTGGACGTAGCGACTTCCGGTAAAATCGGTTTGGCAGTGGACAGTCCTGTGCTGTACAAGAGGGATGATAAACTTCAAATTTACAATAGAAAAAGGCAAGTAGCTGTTACTCTTAGAGGGGTGTCGTATACACAGAAAAAGGAAGAAGGCATGGTGGTAGTGGAGGGTGTGAAGATGGTTCGAGTCTGGGACAAAATGATAACTAGTTATAGTTAAAAATGGCCGTGCGGAATAAACAGCGTAGTGGAGTGGAGTGAACTAAAAGTTAGTTACATGTACTACGGCAGCCTATAGTGACATTTGAGTCAAATGGCTTTTTTCATGTTTTTCTGCTGTAAGTACTTAATTCCACTTATAGACACTCATCAATAGAAATTTATATAAAAGTTTGCCTATAAGTAAGAAATATCTCATTTTCATTCTAATTAATTACAAGTATTAAATGTTCATTTATGCTTGCTTTGCTGCTTGTATAACTCTCTCTATTAATTTCACTCTCTATTTTTACTTTCTCTTATTATCTCTTTCACTTCTTTTATCTTCTCTACTATTAAGTTATCACTGTATCTATCACTATAATTAATAAAGTAATTAGTATATTTTAAAATATATAACTGCTTACAAAGTTTATTTTTTACCACTCTGTGCTCTGTATATTTTTAATTAATAAGCTCTGTTTGATTACAAATTGAATGAATATGATTGGTGCGTGTACATGGTAACACTAGTATAAAATACTCAAAAATACACATTTGACTCAAATGTCAATATAGGCTGCCGTAGGTACAGAGTAACTACATGTACCAGTACATACAGAGGCAGGGAAGGGAAAGGTTTGTATAGTTACACCTACTCATCAACAACCAATATTAATGATTGAGTGTGCCTCATCACAAACTTAATATCATCATCACTTTTCATCAACAATATAACTTTAATATTCTTGATATATTAAAATCACTTTCTCTGTCTATAAAAAGAATTTGATCATCTGTATCTCTGATACTTATTAGCTATTTAAAATCTCTTCATCTGCATTGTATTATTATTTGATAAATTATCTCTGTACATGTACAATGCTAATAATTAATCTGTTGTCAATTCTTTTGAATATTATCTATCAAGCTTCAATTTATCAATTTATATTCTTAATTATTATTATACTCTCTATATTATCAAGTGTTTGAATAATTAAAAATAGTCTTTCTGGAAAAAAAGCTTGATGATTTTATACTTTAATTATCGTTTTAAAAGCATATTGAGATGATGAAAAGTTGCTATGTGGCTGACTTGCTTATAACTTATGCTTTTTCCTGTGAAAGCTTCCTTTTATCTAAACCTCGGGCGGGGGTCAACCTTAAGGATACAGGCACAGAACTACTGCTGGGGACTATGCACATACGAAGACGAAGGCGAGGAGGGAGAGGCAATCTGGGTGAGGGCTCTGTTGATCTCTTCTTCGCCTTCAGGAGTTTTGCGCCCTTGATGGTGAGAAAAATGAGGTTAAGGTTAACTAGCCAACCCTAATAAATGCGTGGTAACAAGTGTCAGATTTCATACTTACAGGGTGGATATAACATTAAATAAAAATAAGAATGTAACTTATCTGATTTAACATGTGCTGACCCCTGATCATTTTCATAGTACTGTACATGTACTGTACATGTACTGTACATGCTGCTGCCGGTTTTCCACATCGGACTCCGATGCGGACACCGACAGGACAGAGAGCCTTCTTCTCATTCTCATCCTCAATCTCTCTGCTAACCATCCTGACACAACACAAGAGGAGACAAGACAGGATACCAATTTAGATCAACTGGATCTGACTATCTCTATCAATACCCAGCATGACCCTCGTCATTCCCATGTCATCGATACCAAGAGTCTCAGACATGCGTCTGTCTCGAGCTTCGGAGTTGCAAGTTTGCCAGCACAGCCTCAAGCATTGCCCTGCCTTTGCCCTTGCCCCTGGACCCACCACGCGAATCCAGATACGAGCTCCCTTCCACACAAGGCTCCAAGGTTGCAGCATCGGAGACCTCCAGTAATAGTGGATAACACACCCAGGTTTTAGGGATGGTTCAGGAGTGCGATGCTTAAAGGTTCGCTAGTCATTTAGGCGTCAAATCGCTGTCACTTGTACATGTACAGTACAACACATTCTGCAGCATAGAGGTTTTCATCTAGGTATCAACGATGTGCCAGGCTTTTTAAGAAGGTTTTATACAGATAATATCGACTATGTCAAATCAGAAAAAGTGAATTAGAAAATTCAGTGTCACTAAGATGGAAATTTTTAATTTTGATGATATTTGATCGTAAATTGATACATCCAGAGAAAGTATCAGAGGAGTAGAAACTATACTTCTCATATTCATCATCATATTCAAACACAATGGGAAGGGAAAAAAAACAAACAAAGAAAGAAAGAAACATGTGAGAGACAGTGTATGCATGATACATCAGAAGATTGCTGTAAATAATATCTGAATCATCTCTGCTTTGACAGGAGAATATATATAAGAAATTTTGTTCACAATCAATAGGTAGTTAGACATGAAATGAAAACATAAATGAATAAATGAATAACATAACAGATAGAAGATTAGTTACCCATTCATCACTGCATTATTAAACACATACAAAAAAAAAAAAAAACAGAGAAAAGAAACATATCATGAGAAGAGACCCATCATAACATGGCCCAAAAGGCACAAACACACAAACAACTCAAGGCAAGAGCCCATTTTCATCAATCTCTTATAGAAATTTGAAGGGAAACAATCAATCAATCAGTCCCACGCAAGCTAACTAACTACCCCCCTTTCACCTCCTTGCCCCTAATACCGCGGCGGCGCACCTCCACCGCTATAACCCCCCTGCGGCGGATACCCACCCTGCCCGTACCCTCCATGCTGCGGCGGCTGCTGACCATAACCCCCCTGCTGCGGCGGTGGCTGTTGGCCATACCCTCCCTGCTGTGGGGGGCCGCTGCTGCTGCTGGTCGTAGCCGCCATTACCCGCCTGTTGCGGGGGGCGGCGGGGCGGCTCCGGCTCCTGGGTATCCGCCGTAGGGCGGTTGTTGGCCCTGTGGGGGCGGAGCGCCGTATTGGCCTGGGGGTGCGCCGTATTGGGATTGTGGGGGCATGGGGGGGTGGCCACCGGCGGAGGGGCGATTGGATTTCTCGTCTTTGGTGTCGTAGGAGGAGTCGATGGCGCCGAGGATCATTTTTGTGAGCTGTTTTTAATTGGGAAGGGGTGGGGTTAGTTGGTTGGGTTACTTGGGGCGGGGGTTTTTTTTATATCTGTATAAATGTTGGATTGGTTGAGTAAGGGGGGGAGGGGAATTACTTACCCATAGTTCTGGGGTTAGGTCAACTGGAGGGTTGGCGCGGGACATTTCATCTTGCTCGACTTCAAAGTCTGTTTTTTTTTAAATAAAAAAAATTACCCATTGTTAGCAAACGATGTTGATTTAAGCTTTCGAATGGGATTGGGTTTAGATATTGTCTTTAGTTAACACGTACTGGATGTGCAGTCAATGAGTTCACCAATACCAGGCTCCTCGTCGAGTTTGCTTAGGAATTCGCGCGCTTTCAAGTCATTCCCGACCTGCGCAAACTGGAAGGAAATAGCGCCAGGTCCATACTGCGGAAGCGCTCTCAGTTCGGAGCTCGCGAATCGAATAGCATCGGATACGGCGCCATGCCTTTCTCCAGCAGGCTGTCCATCGGTGATGGTAATGACCAAGACGGGTTTCTTCAGCTGACCAGCTTTGGCGGGCGCGATCACCAACGGCTCCAAGACCTTAGCCCTCAAGCTGGATCCCATTGGAGTCAGGCCGGAGAACTTAATGGTGCTGATGAGGTGTTCGATCTGCTGTTCATTGCGGATGTTATCTCCCTGTAAGTCAGAGTTCATGAAGCGAATCTGGATGCCGTCGTCGTCAAATAGCGTTGCGGCATAGGTGACGCGGCTGAGGATCAATTTGAGATCCTTGATGCGCTCGCCCCCTTCTTCAAACTGCATGGAGCCGCTGTCATCGATAAAGAGAATGACATCGAACAGGGCGAGTTTGAGGATATCCTGCCCCACTTCACGCGGGACACGCCATGTGGCGCAGAGCTGATCAATCTGCGTGGTAACTCGAGAAGCAATTTGATCGAGGACAGGCGAATTGGGTGGGTACATTGCATGAAGATTCTTTTCCTGAATAGTACTCATGAGGATTTGCTTATAGGCGGCAATCACATGGGGTCCAGCTTGGGGAGGCGGGGCGCCATATTGTGGAGCTCCCTGGGGAGGATGCCCCTGAGGGGGATAACCTGGCGCCCCCTGGGGAGGATATTGCCCTGGTCGCTGTCCCTAATTATAATGATAATAGGTTAGCATCGTCTCATTAAAAAATAAAAATAATAATAATAATAATAATAATAATAATAATAATAATAATAATAATAAATGACATAAATAAACTTGAATAATTCGCAAATAATAAAACAGCAAAGATAAATAGTACACAGGCATAGGAAATCGACGAACGTATGGGGCTTGGCTCTGTGGGTAGGGTTGCTGCTGCTGTTGAGGATACTGCTGGTTGTAGGATTGGCCATAAGGGGTTTGCTGCGGAGGCACTCCATAAGGCTGCTGTTGTTGCTGCTGTCCATAGGTAGGCTGTTGATATGGCTGTTGGTATGGCGAATGAGGTGGTATTGGTGATATACTAGGTTGGTGGGGTTGTTGAGGGTTCTGATATGGCGATGGGGAAGCAGGGTGAGGAGATCCCTGGTAGCCTGGAGCTGGAGAAGGAGTCGAAGTTATCCCTGGTCGTCCATATTGATGTTGGTATTGTTGTTGTGGCGGTGGTGGTGGTGGTTGAGACGACGTGGGGTAAGGGGGTTGTTGCGGCGGGTTCGTGTAGGGCTGTCCAGGATACTGTTGTTGGCTAAACGGACGATGCATGGTAACGGGGAAGCAAAGAACGGGAGAATTCAAAAAGCGGCTCGTTTCCAGGTGAGATTTATTTGTTGAAAGGAAGGCCGATGGGCAACAGTAGACAGAAAAGGACAAAGATGGGAAGCAGATGAAGAACAACAACACGAGATGACGATGATGTAGTTGAGACGAAGCAAAACAATATTGGGCAGGATTTTATTTTTCGTTTTCTTCTTTTTTAACTTATCAAAGCAACAGGAAAACTAGCGCGGGGTGTTGGCGACTGGTAGAGAACTGTGATTTGCTTACCGCGGGAGGTGGAGTTGGTGTCGGGCCCGGATACGCCTGGTATTGCTGGGTCTGTCCAGGCTGCAACGGAATATGGCCAGTCAGTCAGCGTCAGAAACTCTCGTACACAGCCAGCCCATGACATCAGTCAGAAGCTTCCACTTCGCCACAGCATATGATATGATATGATATGATAATTTGCTATGTTCATGGGCAGTACTTACATATGCGCCTGGTTGACCCGGTCTAGGCGCACCTCCAGCGGGCGGAGGAACACCTGGATATCCTGACCGCGGGGGAGCACCTCCAGCCTGTTGGGCCGCAGCCATCTTTGAAGCGAGCTATATAATCCATCAAGGTTGTCAGTGTCCATTTCGATGCCGCGTGCAGTTGAAGGAGAGGACGATCAAAGTGTAGACAGGAAAACTTCCACGGGTCGCAAAAAGTCACGGAGGGGTAATGGGTAATGGCGGGGTACGATCTTTAGGAACATTCCAGGGGCATGAACTTACACCCATGTTGAAGTCTGGGAGAGTCGAAAGTCAGTCCTAGAAACGAGAGGAAATGGAGAGCGCGAGGTTTACAGAATGGTATATGGATGGGGGAGAGGAATAGAGGGAGAAAAGCAGGGAATGGGGCAAAGGAGGGAGAGACAGAGCGTGTTAAATATATAAAAAGAAGACTGGCTGGGCTGGGAGGATATTCCGGCGAGAGCCCAAGCGTGACATTGATAATACGTGTTTTACCGTAAATAATAATCATATAACTTTATATCTACAAACAAGATTCTTCGAACAGACAGTCCTTGAACGGGGTATCACCACGTGGGGATGGGATAGTAACATCTAAGCCAGGATGTATGTAGTTACTGTATATTTCTCTGTTCAGCCGCACCATATTGCAAACACCACTAACAACAGCCCGTAGCCCATGATGTCCCCCAGGATCTGCCTGTCCCCAACGTATACAGCACAGTATAATCCAATCTGTCATTCATCAGAGGAAATACGCTGCATAGCCACAGCGTGCACAAGCCACATTAGTTATGTCATTGCCGTACTAACGAACTTGTTGGCGGGGTTCTGCACTGCCCCATTGTTGAGCCTATCAACAGGGAGATATACATTTCTTTCTTTTCACAACGACAACAACAACAACAACAACAAAGGAGCAAATGACACACTCATGTGCTGCATGGTGTCTGGAGTTGTTGCTGTTGCAGTTGTTTTGCAGAACGCGTTAACTCCCCAGGTAACTATTATATAGCTGGTTGGTGGATTCTACTTTCAAGGCTGACTTTATTATTGAGTATTCCTGGGGTTTTGCATTCCCATATTTCACATATTAAGAGAGTGCGGATGCAGTAGATTATGTCAACTGAAAGAATAAGAAATCTCAGCTGCACTCATCCATTTATTATTCCAGAATGAAAAGGTATGATGAGAAACTCACCTAGAAGAAAATATGTCATCTTTCCATACACAACTCTTCCAAAACTGGGATACTTGTTTTGGTGCATTCTTAGTCTCTGTCAAAGAAATGCAGGAAGATGAATACTAAAAACCAAGTGAATCAAACAAGTAAACACAGCAGTCTTTATTTTATCTTATCAGCAGCATCAGGTTGCTACCCAGCCACAAGCTAACATGCATAAGATTTCGGCAACCCGAGAATATTCGCGAATCAGCCGATCCTTGCCTGATTAGACCCCCTGTGCTTACGGCCAGCATTTGGCCCTCACTGACAATGTATAAGAAAACTAATTTAACGTCCTACATATGTCGATGTAAACCTTCCTTTATTGGTAACCTTCCCTCTATATCTCTACATACATTGTCAAGCCGGGCTATCTGGGGGTTTAATAATAATAGTACAGATATGCAACAACCGTGTATGGCTTCTGCGGGGGTGGAAACAAAATCGCGAGCGTGTCAACTGCCCATCAACGAACAAGCAACGACATCGACATTCACCATATCCCCACAGAACCCCATTGTGAAGTGGTGTATGAACCGAGTTAGTACGTTATGTTTTAAACACTTTCGGTGCCAAAATATCGCGCGATGTGCACCTTGAACGAAGCATTGCGAAACCACGACTATGAGGAATGTACGGGGCCTTGGGCTACAACCTCCTTGTCAGGGGAGGGAATGCACAACTTCTAATGTTTGAACCGCTACCGTTACTCACTGCAAGAGCAGGCACAAACCTCTCAAATACAGCTGATAACTATATTGGTTTCCCAGGAGAAAAATCAGGGGACACTTGGAAGCAACCCCCGCGACGTCAAAAGTTTTAAGGCAGAAAGGCTCTGGGACAAGTTGGCAATCTTCCTCCGTCCGGTCTTCTCTGATAAATGGGGGCTTGTTGAAGACAATGCCCCTACCTGTAGGGAAACAGGCTCCTGGGCGGGGTTGGTAATGGGCAGAGGGAAGTACTTTGGCTCACAACTAACCATCTTTTTACCCTCATCAGAGCAGATTTCTGGGCATTTTTTCTGTCATTAAGCATATTATGTTAGTAACCATGCGTTTCTGCTTATTCCCCTGCCGCCCGTGGTTGTAGCTGGGGGTGAGAAGGGTTGACATTTGTTTGACTAGTTGCTTGTTGGTGATTGGGGGCTGGAGGGTGAATAGATATGCTATACATAGAGAGCTATAGATTTGGGCTTTATGGGATAGTTCAGATATGAAGCTATAGGAAGAAGTAATTGCATTCTTGAAAATTACTCCTGGTTTTCCCTTGTCTAGGAAATATTACAATTCGTTTCCCCGTTCTACTGGCTCTAGGTTGCCAGTGGGAAAAACTGGCAGGGGAGGCAGAGGACGACATCAACAAGCCAACCGGCGACTAGCGAAACGTAGAAGATATATATATAGACATGAAGTATCTAGATACACCATTCGTCCATCTAAAACAAATGAGATAACAAGGAAATAATAACATAAATCCAAAAGCAAAGCAACGGTCATCACTTCTTCCCCTTCCCCTTTTTCTTCTTCTGATTCCCTCCACCCTGACCCTTCGCCTGGATAACAGGCGTAGAAGCAGCCGACTCCTCGCTCTTTTCATTAACGACACCACCCTGCGTACGCTCCGCGGCTCTCTGCTTCCCCTTCTTCCCCTTCGGCCGATAACTGGAGCGATCACGCAATGGTAACCAGCGCTCTGGATCTGGCTTTTTGTTAGGATCGTAGTCCTTGGGTAACCGTGATTTGCGGACTCGTTTCTTCGTAGCCTCTTTCTTGTTAGCATCGTCAGCTGCCGGGCGCTTACGACTACTTGCTCCCGTGGCGGGAGCAGAAGCCGTTGGTAATATGGTGGAAGTTGTGGTGGAGGGGATTCCAGCGGCTTCCAGGGAGGAAACGTCGATGTCGGCAATTAGATCTTGGACGGGTGAAAGTTTATCTACGGCGGAGCTAACTTTATCAGGTGACGTTATGGCGTACGAAGAAACGTAGCCTGCGGTTGCAAATTGGTCATTTGGATGGGCGGTATGGAGTTCTGTGAATATTTTCCCTGCCAGGGCAAGGTCTGTGGGCTCACCGGATGTGAGGAGCGAGGAGCCCGCGGCGCGAAGGAGAGCGGGAGATTTGTCAGAACGCGATTGCCAGTGTGATGCGGCTTTGGAGAGTTCTGTCTTTATGTGGCTTTTGCGCCCTTGGATTTTATATAGGGAAACTAGGATGCCGATGAGGCCTGGGTTGAATCGGATGTCTTTATCTGACTCTGATATCGATTGGTCAAGACGCTTGAAGAACGCTTCTAGGACAGAGATGGCAGAGTTAACGTTTCTAGCTGAAACGTATAATTGGATGAGAGTGAGGACAAGACCAATGTCATTCGGTCTTTTCGCTAGAAGAGGAAGTACTTCTTTGAGACCAGCTTTACCTGATCCGTCTCGGGCGTGAGAGGCAATGTTGAAAACGGAGAGGGCGTTGATGTCAGGCGATGTGGTAGGGGCAGGGTGTTGGGAGAGAGCCTTTTCCGTCGATCTTTGTATGCCTTCGAATTTGCGGACGAGAAGATCTACCACATAAGAGTTCCCGGTCAAGGGTCGACTTTGAAACGAAAATAATCTATCGCCGTCTATTGACGTTGGGATTTGATGGAATTGTTTGTGTAGTATATATGGATTTGATTGAGCTTGGGAGGCAAGAAGGATGTTATTTTGCGCGATTTTTTTGGTTGAAATCTCGGGGATTCTGTTGGAAATGTTAATATCTATGGTCAAGTCTGTAGTACAGGGGTAATACATACTCAGCTATGTTGATTTCGTCTGCCAGACTTTTAGCTTCGTCGGATTTTCCTTGCTTTAGCGCGATATATAATTGCTGAACTGCAATAGGGAGAAGCTCTGCCACTTTATCTTTAGGTGTAAGATCCTCGGACGATTTACAAAGTTCTGCGGTTTGATCTGTTAGAGATTTGTTCGGAGGTCGCAAGGGAAAGCAAAGAAATGCTAACCCTTTGCTCGTCTCAATAGTACTTCTCCTGTCTCTAGTTCTCCTCTCCCTATAGCGCCGCATGCCACATTATAAGTCGTTTCGAAAGATTCGAGCTCTTCCCGACTTGGTCTTGTATTGTCCACCTGACTGGCCAGTCCAGACCACTGGAGCTGTGCGTCCGCAGCTCGTGAATTGATTCGCAGGTCACTTTTCTCCCCGACAAACGCTGGATTCTCTGTAGATAGCTCTTTATAAACTTCTGCGGTGCGACGAAAGTTTTCCGCACGATATGTCTGAAAACTATGAGCGACCCTTCAGTGGAAGCAGTGTGCGGAGTTCGAACAACTTTCACGTACCGCTTGGGCTTCAACATGTTTCCCCCCTCTCCCGGTCCCGGCACTCGCGGCCAGTTTTATCGCATCTTCTAATTGCCCGACCTTATATAAAGCGTAAGACCATTCCAGAGGGACTTTCTTTTTCAGCGCATCCCCGCCATCCTCGATCACTCGAATCGCATCTTCGAAACGGTCCAATTTGACCAGGGCAACAGTTTTTACATGGAGGGCATTGAGATCGTTTTTGGACGTTTTCAGTACCGCATTGCAAGCTTTGATGACTTCTTCATGGTCGTCGATTGTGCTTCGCTGAATCAACGCACTGATGCTCTGGGTCGCCATACGGAGAAGTTCAAGGGCTGTTCAGGCGCCGCACTGGCTCCCGAAAAGGATTGTTTAAAGAAATAAAAAAGAAGGAAGGTTGGCGAATAATTTTAAAATCTCCCGACACGATCTTAAAATTGTAATGTATGTAAATAACTTCCGTTTGGTTCAGCAGTGTTCGCTTGAACTCCCCGTTTCGTCAACAAATTGGAGTTCAAATCACGTGATATTTAAATGACCGCATCGGGCAAGCTCTGCGAACATCCTTGGATCATCAACCTTCATTTTGACTCCCATAATCTCGCTCCTATATACGAATTCGTCCGAGGAATATACAGGCATGGAAAGCGTACGGTGGATGAATGCCATACTGATTAAGGCTTGTCATAATATTCATTTCAGCCTTTACTTTGAAATCACACTCGACTTTACTAAAAAATAAGTAAGGCCATTTTCCTCTCAAGTATCCCCATAAATTATTCTGTGGAACAAAAATGTTGTCATTAGTATCGACAAGAGTGGGCTCAACTACCTCAATTGAACTGGAATATCCCCTTTCATAAACTGAACAGTTGGTCTTATCAAACCGAAGGGAGCGGCGCGGAAAATTCTGCCCTATCACCATTTATCCGCCTTTTCTGGAGGTCGACCATATTATCTGCCCGGGCAAGGGTGAGGCTGTTTTAAATAGCATGCGTTAGGGGAAAATCGAAATGGTTGTTCTACCTCGCCTAACAGGAATTCTGAAATGCATGTATATCTCTTTCAGCTAGTTCGAGAACACCTACTGGCGTCCGAGAATCCCACCCCTGAGAGACGAACGCTGTGCAGAACAACTCAGATTTCTTCAACTCTGACGGACGGTGGACCATACACCGTAGCGTCGTCTGGGATTGCCTTTGCGAATCTCTTGTCTCTGCCAGTCCATTCTGCATTATCGCATGGAATGGGTATGTGGGCATTCTTCATATACACTAGGACTAGCACGGGTCAAGTTATTTATATCAAGTGAATTAAGCGTCTATTTGGGTCAGGGTATGACTATTTTTTGGAACAGTGTGGCCAAATTCGACCAGAAGAATGATCGCACTCATGAGTGTGTACTCACTTCGTCATGACCGCCTAGCTATCAATTTTCGAACTAGAGAAATCATTTTGCTATCTACTCATCTCAACATTCTCCTGAATAACAATGTTGACTTTAACGTCCAGTTACTGGAGAAAGAACATGCGCACAAACTCAACACGCATGCGTGCAAACTCTCTTCATAGCCATCCCAGTCCCCCACACACATTAAGGCCTACGTCCGCGATCCAACATTAAGTGCAACATCTTGCATGCCGTGCAATTTACTCCCCTCGGAGAAATCGTCCTGGGCCAGGTCGAAATATCCCTCGGCGCAATCCTCTTTGGATACAACCGCAAGTGACCGACCATTCACGGCAGTGTCGGAGGCGATTCTCAAGACTGCCTTACAGGCATCATCTTCTGAGGCGAATTTCACGCCCTTTGATTTAAAGAAGGCGATTATTTCTTTGGTGTAGGCCGGGGTTATGACGTAGCTTCAGTCTCCATTAGCACGCTGAAAAAAGAAGTGGAGATCTAAATGGGTCGTTGTTGCCATATCCATGTCCATATATAGTTAATTCTTAAAATGGCTACATACCCTGGTGCAACTAGATTGACACGAATCGAATCAACCTAAGCGTTCCTTCGAAGGGAGAGCATCAGTGCTCTCACACCAAACTTTGACATGGAGTATGTCGCAGAACTCGGTATGCCGAGGTAACCAGCAATACTACCTATCAAAATCAAACATCTGTCTCGGGTCGACCCAAGGGGTTGGCGTCGGAAGTAGTAAATGGCGAGTTTTGTTGTGAACATTGTTCCCGTAAGGTTGATATCAAAGATAGTGGTGTCTGGCTTGGTAAGTGGAAGGGAAGGGTCTGCAAGTTGCAGTCATTAATCTGCAGAACCACGCACGTAGCTACACGGTATTCGCGACTGCAATATCCATGTAGAGAAATACTTGTTAACCTTACCAGGCAACAATCTCTTAAGTCCAATAAGGAATCAACAGTGTCTAATAACAATAAGATTGCAATGAATATAAATAAACTGAAATCGATTCTAAACATGTACTCATTCCAACGCGTGGAAAAGCAATGCCCCGGAGGATGCATTAGCATATGAGCCAAAACACCAAAGGGAAGCCGGCTACTCATGCTGTCATTCTCAAAAGGAATGAAACATATTTGCAAGAACCATTCATTCCACTGTATCCATGAATAACACACATACGTATATATATATATATATGTATTCCTAGGCATAATATTCCTAGGTATAACTATAGAAGTCGAAGTTGGTGTCCATTATCTGCACACAGAATTAGTTAGGGCAAGAGCGACCAGGTGACCGTGGGTTGTTGACAACCCCTGAGTTCCATCTCACGCCTTGCAAAACGCAAAAAAGAGTCAGCGCTCTTCTAGAAAAAGCATGATATTGTGACAACTATTCATCGAGGACTAAGCGGTCGAATGACGTGAAGCATGTGCGTGTCCTTATGAGAGAAAAGAAGTCGGAAAAGCTAATTTCCAGGTGGACACTCCTCGTGCGGATTTACAAAATCCCAACTTTTCAAAGATTCCACATGCACAGAGTCCCCCTTCATTTATTATCCCAAAAGGTCAACCTCGTCACTTCGGAAGAGACTCCAGCTGAGAAATGCATGGTAGTCGCATGGAGGATGCATAGTCGCATGGAGGATGCATACTCATTCGTCCTTGGCGTCTGAGTGACGATCTGTCCGAGCGAGCGTTTCATCGCGTAATTGTCAGAGTGAACCATCATCCAGAGAAGGGTAACAGATATTGCCAGCGCGGTTTCCCACGGATGTTCAGCAATCCCATAAGCACAGGCACAAGAATATGTATGGCAACTCAAGTCACTGCCTACCGAGCCTCCATATATCACGACCTCCTTTCTTGAGCATGAGCAACATATTTCTCCGGATGGCCAGTTTGTCCACAGTCAGAGAACTGGTGGGACCGACAATCCACGGTGACTTCATCACCACTGCACCTCGCTCCACTCAACAACCAAGCCCCCAGTGACACATCATCCGACTGAAACGACTCCATTATTCCAGCTTCAAAGGGCGTGGGATTACGGCACGTGGAATGATTTGGAACATTCCTGAATCTGTGGGACCCTGTGTCCACCAAGGTTGTATAGACCCTTGTCTAGTCCGGTGGGTTCTTGATTGACAGGTTCTCAAAACATCCGTGGACTTCCTGCACCATTGACATGCTTGCGCTTAATCACGACTGATCCGGCTTGAGCAATCGCATTGGAATCGAGAGTTTACCGAGCATTGGCCCCTCCTCTCAGGGTGCTGGCATAAATTTCGCATCACCGAGAGCAATTCGGGTAATTTGTATTGGGTTCAATTGAATACTACCATTCGCAGGGTGCCATCGGCACAATGGGTCAGAAACTGAAAAGCACTCTGCGCGACAAGGGTATCAAAAGCGGGAAAAAATGAGGGAATCATTCATGGATGATGAGTTGAACATGTTTATTGCTTCACATGAACATTGCATCAGTGCCCTAATTGCTGTTTCAAGTGGTTTGACTTTCCGTTAGGCACAGGGGCAAGAGGGACGAGTAAACTTCCCTGGATTTGTTCCTGAACCATAAAAAGGCGCTGGGATATTTTGAGACACGGGAAACCCCGCCACTTCGCTTCACGATCCATGGGTTGAAAAATGTTGTAAAATGTCGCAGGCAAATACTGAGGAGGCTGGCAGACTTGAAGTTGATGAGCGTTAAGGACCCTTTCGTCTGCGGCAGCTGTTAGTAATCCTTTGAAAAATTGTGTGACCACGCTCAGTTAAGCTTCCAGACAAAATTGCTCAAGATAATATTACTATGGGGAAACTGCCAATCATCATCGTTCTTTTCATCGTGGGGCTGCCTTGCATATCAACTCGAGTTCCAAAACAGGGGAATAGTCAAGATCTTCGGCCCAAGATTCCCCTCAAATTTCGAGAGGAAAAGCAGTTTGTATGGACACATTCTGCAAATTTGCCGACACTTTTCTGCTTTCTAGAACTTAGAAGAAGAAATAATGATCAAAAGTTCAACAACAGTGAGTTTAGTTCGGCAGTTCAACTCGTTTTATCTCGAGTCTCGGTTAATACAAGATGGGTCATATAAATAATAATTTCACACTGCTGCACCACCCTGGAAAAGAAAAAACTTCACTCGCCTACAAGAACCTAGGATTCTCCCGGATGTTCTACCCGACCTTTCGCAAAATGGGCCCAACAACCATTATTGGAAAATGGCCTCAGCCAGCTGGGGGCCTCGACTGGACTGGCAAGACAAGACAACCTGACAGCTGCAATGACAGTTCTTGGTGGAGAATGACCGTGGCCAAATAATAGAAAGAAAGAACCACTTGACTTGGCTTGCAACCATTATTACTACTTTATGGGGGTGAAGAAAATAAAGTTTTTCAAAGTATGTCAGCTCAATATTATTACTAAACGGATTCATGGACGTATCGGCCAATATTGTATATTGTTGATTGTTGCATTCCCTGTCAACGCACAGAGCTCGCCGGGCCTTTGGCCAAGCATGTCCCACTCAGCTCGGATTTGGAAGAACTTTTTGGAGTTCCGTTCGCCTATTAGGCTAGTTAACTATGGATGACCCATAGCTTCGGCACAGAGCCTCACACGGCCCCAACATAAAAACAGCCGCGTCAGATCGAGGCAAGTTGAGGGCTTTGGGAGAAGATAAGAAGAGTAAGGAAAAATCAAAGTAAAATCAAAGCAAAATCGGGTGGAAAGTGAAAGAATCGGGATGTCGATATTGCAATTTCATGGCATTCGTATAACTATCATATTGCATACGTTCGCTCTTCCGATCCTCAGCGGAACTTGATTCTCAACAAATGCAGGTTGCTAACCCCGCCAGATTTCTGAAATAAGCTTCTTTCAATATACCCACCGTGCCGAAGGCACAAGCAAATAGTGGCATCCACTTCTACGAGCATATCAACATCATACATCGTTCTTCATTCACAGGTATGTACTCCCTAGCGTATACATACACGCAGGGGAGCGTCAGCTTCATACATCCGCGGTCACAAGGGCCAGTATCGCCGAACAGATATGATCGACTTTCCATCTTGGCTATATTGCGGGAATCCATGTCCAATAAGCCGCAGCCTCTCTTTCGTGAGATCGTGGCTTTGTCACCATTTCGCTGAGCCAGGTTGAGGCAAACCAAACGGAAGGCTTCTTCTTCCTGACACCGTTAAATTTCCTAGGGCTGGACTGGAAAATTACCCACAATATAGTCTCCTGCTCCCCATAGATTTAACCCTTTCATGGCATTACCGCCGGGCTGCTTTCTTCGGCTTTAAAGTTGTGCGTAAAACGCAGTCAGACACTAGACATAAAGGTCAGATTCGGACATCGTCACTTTGAATTCGTTCTCGGAATGTCTTTATTATTGCACACCAACGACCGTGATTTGGGCCTCATATCGAGCTTGCTCTGAGGCAGACAAATAGACGAAATCCAGCCCCAGCGAAGGAAAGGGTGAAAAAAGAAAAATTAATATGTGATTCAGCTTTAAATCAAGATCAAACCCCGTAATTGTTCTGGCTCTCCCTATCATGAGAAAATCAGGAAGTGCCCAGTTTCTATGATTCGAGACAATTACACATCATAAAAACGTCGAAATATCACTTTCCAACTTATTCGAAGCTATCATGAAAGCCAGTTTGACATTGATGGATCCAGAACCGCATATTGACAATCGAGGTTGCAGCAGACAAGTTTTTGAGCTTGTTTCTTGAATAATAGAATCAGTCAAAGTTAAGGAACCGGAAAAACAAGGCATTAACGACACTCATAGACAATCCCGTTGTCTCAGATCATCTTGTTCAATTCCGTGGCATTGTTCCGTTTTAAACTTTGTCTTGCACACCGTTGAAACACAGCATCCCAAGGAAACAGGGTGAGCAAGAAAGGATCCTGGGGAAAGATTATGGAGTGACCCAAAAGCCAAAAGGACCAAAAAAAAGAAGGAAAAAAAAGGAATCGTACTAAGTAGGGGCTTGAGGCAAAAAGCACCCTACTTGGTGTTTTCGATATGTTCCTGACCCAAAGAATAAAAATGGATCTGTCAAACAAACTGTCCAGTGGAGGAAAATACCGAGCCTTGCAACCGGTGACATCGGTGACACCTCTCTCATGCCTGCTTCATGTCGAAATCAATGTGATGGCTGCTCGGTACTCCGTATACGCAACGCATATCTCTCTGCCTTGGGACGCGCAGGAAACTAGGGACTCTGTCAGCCACTATCGATAAGCTGCGGGCCACTCTGCGACTCTGGACAGGTCAGCACGAACCCGAGCGGCAGTCACTAGTGGGGAAGAACCTAGGTGTGGGGTTCAATTTGGCATTCTCGGCCCATCTTGACATTCCTTGGAAAGTTAAAATAGACACACACACACGAGCCACTTAAAACTATGAAGTCACGACTCAGGAGTGGTGCAGGCGTGCCGCCAGCCCTCGAGCGGCGAGAGAGCGAGAGAGGAGTGGAGCATCTCAGGGTGAACCACGAGCACCGGACGAGGGGCATATTTTTTTTGGATAGTTAACTAGTTCTATGGAGAGCTGACGTAACTATCCATCGTGAGGATATTTTTAATCCCGGGAAGCAAATATCATCCTTGCCCAGCCAGGTACACACGATAAATCCGCCTTCGCTTCCCAGCCCTTGTGTCGTCTTACGTCTTGGCGATGAGGTGGGAAGGTTTACTAACTAGTTACATATCACGCTTCGCTGGAAGAACGATCAT